TGTGGTCCAAGCTCTTTTTACAGACCTAACACATCAATGCATACATAGACTTTTCTGGAGAGAAAATAAGAAGTTGCTGACTACAGTGGGTTCAGAGTAGAGGCGACTTGGTAGACTGAGGATGAGGTGACTTATTTATTTGTGTATGTTCTTGAGTATTTATGAATCCTCTGTGTGAGCGTGAATAGCAAATATTAGTTATTATCAAAATCATTTATTATAAAAATAAATTACACAATACCTGACACTTATCAAACACTTGGCACTTCCCCCTCAGTCACATGTTCTCAGGCTCTGACCTTCTACTCTAGGACCCGTCATCTTGTCACTGAATGATTTTGCCTTAGAATTTCCACCTGACCAAGGTGGGCTGGATGGATGGACACCTTCCCACTGAAAAGAGCTAAAAATGTGAGATACGTATGAGATACAAATCCACCTTCTTAAAAGCATTAGAACTGGGCTCCCCTGGTGGCCCAGGTGGCTGAGCGCCACACTGTGAAGCTGTCTGCAGCCTCTGCAGTGCTGGTTCAATCCCAGCCGGCAAGCGAGGGTCCCACATCGACGGCAGACCTCTCCTGTCTCGCCTGCTGCTCCCCTCAGTGGTGTATTTCGTCAGTCTGCCTGTTCAGTTCCCCGCTCTGTCTCTGGTGAATCCTCTCACCCTCCTGCACATCTGGCCTGTACCCGGTTCTTGTATAAATCAATAAATAAATCTTTAAAAAAAGCATTAGAACTGACAATATAGTAATGAATGCCCACACCCAGTAAAGAAGGGGGAGACCCTACATGGGTCCCACAGAGAATAGCATCTTGAGGAGGGGAGGAAGGGCTGTGAGGGTCCTGTCCAGAGCAGACACGTAGCCCAGCCCTTCAGCTCTGTGCTGAGCCTGACGACCACCACCCGATATCCCTTTCAAAATTTAGGAAGACCTGCTTTATTTTGCCTATGATGTGTGTGTGTGTGTGTGTAAACACACATATATGGTACACTTCTTAGGATATAAACTGTATTCCCTATAAAAAATCAAAATGTTGGGCCTCCCCGGTGGCACGGCCTGCTGAGCACAACGCTGTAAAGCTGTCCTAAGCATCTGCAGCGCAGTATTTATTTCTGGTTGGCCAGGGAAACACCCACATGGCGCAGCAGACCTCTCCTGGCTTGCCCGCTGCTCCCCTCAGCAGTGTATTTCAGTCAGTCCGCCTGTTCTGTTCTCCGCTCTGTCTCTGGTGAATCCTCTCACCCTCTCGCACACCCCAGTTCTTGTATGCACAAATAAATCTTTAAATAAAAACATTTTATAAATAAAAAAAATAAAAATGTTACAAACAAAGCATTTTCAAGCCAGGAGGGAGTAAAAAACACTGTCAGCTGTTCTTAAGAGAAACAGAAAAGCATTGAAATGAGGCCTCAAGTTTGGTGATGACATCTCATTGTCAGCCTTCCACAGGCAGGTCCAGCACCTGAGCCCAGTGGAGAAGGGCTGCCCAGGAGGGAGCAGGAGGGAGGGAGCAGGACATGGACAGAAACCACCCTGTCCAATATGAAGGGCTGTGGGGTCCTAGCCAGGGAGGCTCAGGAAAGCAGGGAGCATCTCCTCAAGCCTGAGAGAAAGAATCTGGACACAAAGTAAACCCATTTTCTGATGACATAGAGCACATGTAAGTCACTTCTGCCACAATCCAAAGTACTATGTGCCAAGGAAACTAATTTGTATAAGGAGAATTAGACCTTTTGGGGGGGGGGAGGGTACTACCATCTTTACTTGAAGGGATGAATGACAAAACACTATCATTATTAAGATTTTGTTAATCTGTACACACTTTCTAGAACGTGAATGTGAGCTGTCCCTTTAAGAAAATCAAGTGACAGTTGACAACTGATAGTAATTAACTACCTTGATAAAGTGCAAGCGCCATGTGAAAACCAGATAGTGAAAAATTGTGTCCCATCACTGTAAACTTGACAACTTCCAGTAGCCAATTACTTTTCTTTGGGGATTTTTGGAACATGAAACATGTATGATTTTCAAAATTTGATTCTCAAATAATTAACATAAAGATCATATAACCTGGTAAGACAATGCATCACTTTTTAAAGTCATGTATTAGTACAAGATTAATAATCAATAGAGGCCTATGGAATTAATATAACAGAAAACATTCAATGATACTGTTCTACCACTCACTTTGCAAATAACATTTGAAAAACCACCACTTGTATAGTTTCAATTTATGGCCGAAGTGGAACAAAGTTAAATAGTCACAATTATGTGAAGAATACTTAAAATGCTATTTTCTTTTTTTTAATAATAAATTTTATTTTTATATTCCCCATACAATTGCAACCCCCAATTCTGACCCCAATCCCTCCCCTCCCGCCCCCCCCAAAAAGTGTCTCTGGTTCATAGTTTTTTGTTGATTTTGATTTTCACTTTCTTATAGTTATTAATTTTCCTGGTCCCTTATTTAAGATTTCTAGATTCCTGCTATGAGTGAGACCATCCGGTATTTTTCTCTTTCTGGCTTATTTCGCTGAGCATGATCCCTTCCAGCGCCATCCATGTTGCTGCAAATTGCATGTGTTTATCTTTTTTGAATGCTGAGTAATATTCCATGGTATATATGTACCACATCTTCTTGATCCAGTCATCTATTTTTGGGCATTTGGGTTGTTTCCAAAGCTTAGCTATTGTAAATAGTGCTGCTATAAACCTAGGGGTGCAGGTGTTCTTTGGAATTGATGTTTCTGTGTCCTTTGGGTAAATACCTAGGAGTGGAATTGCTGGATCATATGGAAGCTCTATGTTTAGTAGGTCCAGAAATCTCCACACAGCTCTCCATAGTGGTTGGACCAGTTTGCACTCCCACCAACAGTGCAGAAGAGTTCCTTTTTCTCCACACCCTCGCCAATATTTGTTGTTGCTAGTTTTTTTAATATGTGCCATTCTCACTGGTGTAAGATGGTATCTCATGGTAGTTTTGATTTGCATTTCTCTGATTACAAGTGATGTTGAACATTTTTTCATATGCCTGTTGGCCATTTGCATTTCCTCTTCAGAGAAGTTTCTTTTTAGCTCTTCTGCCCATTTTTTCACTGGATTATTTTCTTTGTTTGTGTTGAGTCTCATCAGCTCTTTGCAGATTTTGTGATCAGTCCTTTATCATTAGAGTTGTGTGCAAAAATGTTCTCCCAGTTGGTGGGGTTTCTCTTTGTTTTTGTTATTGTCTCTTTTGCTGTGCAGAAGCTCTTTAATTTGATGTAGTCCCAGCTGTTGATCTTTGCCTTCACTATCACTGCTTTGGGTGATGTGTCTGTAAAGATGTCTTTGATGTGCAAATCACGTAGTGTTTCGCCTATATTTCCTTCTATGTATTTTATGGTTTCAGGTCTTATGTCTAGTTCTTTAATCCATTTTGAGTTGATTTTTGTGTATGGTGTGAGATAGTGGTCAAGCTTCATTCTTTTGCATGTAGTGACCCAGTTTTCCCAGCACCATTTATTGAACAAACTTTCTTTGCTCCAATGCATACTCTTTGCTCCTTTGTCAAAGATTAGTTGACCATAAATCTGTGGGTTTATTTCTGGATTTTCTATTCGATTCCATTGGTCTGTATGTCTGTTCTTGTTCTAATACCATGCAGTTTGATAATTATGGCTTTGTAGTATAGTTGAAGTCTGGGAGTGTGATGTCCTTCCATTCCTTCTTTTTTCAGGAGAGCTTTGGCTATTCGAGGTTTTTTGTGATTCCATATGAATTTCATCAATAATTGTTCTATTTCTTTGAAGAATGACATTGAAATTTTGATTGGAATAGCATTGAATCTGTATATTGCTTTTGGTAGGATGGCCATTTTAATAATGTTTATTCTTCCAATCCATGAGCAGGGGATGTCTTTCCATAAAATGCTATTTTCACATATTTCAGAGAGGCTGTATAGTTTTTCATTGACCCACCAAAACAAAGAGTAAATGCAGGAGAAACTATGACAATCCAACATGCCTCTGGTGAGACACAGAAGAAAAATAATTGCAAAAAATATAAGCTGTAAAAGATCCACTCATGACCCTGATTATTTTCATTAAATATCTATATTTCTTTAAGACACTTTGAACACACAATGGGTTATTAATATTATTTTAAATTAAATGAAAATATCTTTAAATTTTTTTATTCTTCATGTAGTAAATACTGAGAGCTATAACCTCCTAAACTTATACCGGGGTCCTGGCTAATTTTAAAACTGCAGAGATCTTGAAACAAAAAAGCTTGAAAAATCGCTGATCCAGTGCCTGGCCTGGACTCAGGGAGGCAACAGTGTGACAAATGCCTTGGAGCAGGAGAGGAGGGGGGGCGGGGGCAAAGTCCCAGGTATCTGGTTTGGTTCTCAGGGTCTCAGCCCTGTGGGCTGTGCAGGGGGCAGGGAAGGTTACTGTTAGGGATTCTTCATCTCCCCCCAGTTTCACATCTCCCACAACAGGTGTTGATCTCCTTTGAATACTGGTGACTCACCCCTAGTTCTCACTCCCCATTGCCTGGAGGATCTCCAAAGACTCCAGCCAGAATCACAGCTGCAATCAGTGTGGGCTCAGTCTCCTCAGACTCAAGAGCACCCATCATGAGGCCCCCAACTCTCCTGCTGCTGCTCTCAGGAGCCCTGACAGAGACCTGGGCAGGTGAGTGTGGGCTCAGGAGCGAAAAGGTCTCATAGGAGAGAAGAACCCGGTGGGGGCTTATGTCCAGAAAAGCAAGTCTCCCCCACCTCTGACCCTGTTGTTCCCTTTGACCCCAACCTGCCCTGACCCCTTTCTGTCCCTCTCAGCCTCCTGCCGCCCCCTCTGAGTCTCCAGCCTTCTCCTCCGCTGCCCCATTTCAATCTCAGGAGCCCCCTCGCCCCCCTCCCTCCCCCCCATCTCCCCGGGACCCGCGGGGAGGAGGCTCAGCCTGGGTCTCCCCTCCCGCCCCAGGCTCCACTCCCTGAGGTATTTCTCCACCGCGATGACCCGGCCCGGCCTCAGGGAGCCCCGCTTCATGACCGTGGGCTACGTGGACGAACACGCAGTTCTCGTGGTTCGACAGCGACGCGGCGGGGCGAGGATGGAGCCGCGGGCGCCCTGGGCGGGGGCGGAGGGGCCGGAGTACTGGGAGGGGGAGACGCGGAGAGCGAAGACCAACGCGCAGATGTTCCAAGTCAGCCTGAACAACCTGCGCGGCTACTACAACAGAGCGCGGACGGTGAGCGGGGCGGGCCCGGGGCGCTCACGACCCCACCCCGGGCGGGCGGGACCCCAGAACCCGGCCCGAGCGTCCCCCGAGGCAGGGGGACCCGCCGGACCCTAGACCCGGGACGAGCCCGGGACGTTCCCCGCGAGGTTTCCGCGTCCAGTTTCGGTTTATTCCGGCGGGGGCGGGCGGGTGACGCGGGGTGACGCGGGGTGACGGGGCGGGACGGGTCTCACACCCTCCAGGGGGATGCCACGGCTGCGACGTGGGGCCGACGGGCGCCTCCTCCGCGGGTACAGTCAGTCCGCCTACGACGGCGCCGATTACCTGGCCCTGAACGGGGACCTGCGCTCCTGGACCACGGCGGACACGGCAGCTCAGATCTCCCGGCGCAAGTGGGAGGCTGAGGGAGCGGCGGAGCACGTCAAGAACTACCTGGAGGGCACGTGCGTGGAGTGGCTGCGCAGGTACCTGGAGCTCGGGAAGGAGACGCTGCAGCGCGTAGGTAAGAGGGGCCGCGAGGTCTCCAAACCCCCTCAGGTGGCACCCAAGGGGAGGGTGGAGTCAGGTCACAGCAGCGCCCTCTCTGGTCAGGGGAAGGGGAGCCCCCTGGTTTCCTGACTCCCAGAGGACCACTTTTTCTCAGAAGTTTCCTCTAAGCCTGAGGGGAGACCAGCCCTGAAATCACCCTCACTGATTTTTTTTTTTTTTTTTTAAGTTTCTGTAGCCTTTTTTTTTTATGTGCAGTTTATTTTTATTTTATAAATTTTATTGTTATATTACCCCATACAATTTGCAGCCCCCCCATTCTGACCCCAATCCCTCCCCTCCAGCCCCCGCCCCTAAAAGTTCTCTGGTTCATAGTTTTTTGTTGATTTTGATTTTCACTTTCTTATAGTTATTCATTTTCCTGGTCCCTTATTTAAGTTTTCTAGATTCCTGCTATGAGTGAGACCATCCGGTATTTTTCTTTTTCTTTTTGGCTTATTTCGCTGAGCATGATCCCTTCCAGCGCTATCATGTGGCTGCAAATTGCATGTGTTTTATCTTTTTTGAATGCTGAGTAATATTCCATGGTGTATACGTACCACATCTTCTTGATCCAGTCATCTATTTTTGGGCATTTGGGCTGTTTCCAAAGCTTAGCTATTGAAATAGTGCTGCTATAAACCTAGGGTGCAGGTGTTCTTTGGAATTGATGTTTCTGTGTCCTTTGGGTAAATACCTAGGAGTGGAATTGCTGGATCATATGGAAGCTCTATGTTTAGTAGGTCCAGAAATCTCCACACAGCTCTCCATAGTGGTTGGACCAGTTTGCACTCCCACCAACAGTGCAGAAGAGTTCTTTTTCTCCACACCTCGCCAATATTTGTTGTTGCTAGTTTTTTAATATGTGCCATTCTCACTGGTGTAAGATGGTATCTCATGGTAGTTTTGATTTGCTTTCCCTGATGACAAGTGATGTTGAAATTTTTTTATATGCTGTTGGCCATTTGCATTTCCTCTCAGAGAAGTTCTTTTTAGCTCTTCGCCCAATTTTTGACTGGATTATTTTCTTTGTTGTTGTTGAGTCTCATCAGCTGTTTGCAGATTTTGTGATCAGTCCTTTATCATTAGTGTTGGGTGCAAAAATGTTCTCCAGTTGTGGGTTTTCTTTTTGTTTTTGTTATTTTCTTTTTGCTGTGCAAAAGCTCTTTAATTTGATGTAGTCCCAGCTGTTTTATCTTTGCCTTCACTATCACTGCTTTTGGGTGATGTGTCTGTAAAGATGTCTTTGATGTGCAAATCACGTAGTGTTTCGCCTATATTTCCTTCTATATATTTATGGTTTCAGGTCTTATGTCTAGTCTTTAATCCATTTTGAGTTGATTTTTGTGTATGGTGTGAGGTAGTGGTCAGCTTCATTCTTTTGCATGTAGCGACCCAGTTTTCCAGCACCATT